GGAGCTGGAACATATCCTTCTTAGTAAAATATCTCAAGAATGGAAGAAAAAATATCCCAGTACTATTATGAAACCAATTTACAATCACTCACACTTTCATATGAAGAATAGAATCACAACTATGGCCCAGGATGAAGGAGGGAGGAGAGAGGGATGGGAAAGGAGGGGGGATGTCAGATGGAGGGAGGGTGAATGGTGCACACCAATGGTGCATAATGCAAGGGTACATGTCAGATCTGTTAGTATGGAGTATAAATGTCTTAACACAATAACTAAGTAAACGAGATGAAGTATCTATTAACCAGTGTGATGTAAGCATTCCTAATTCTATATGAAATCAGCACATTGTATTCCATAAATGCATTAATGTATACATGATCTATGTGTTTATGATTTAATTTTTTAAAAAAAGATATTTGTAGGACTTGTTTCCGTATTTCTTATTATTTCCCCAAAGCAAGGACTAACACTGGCCTAGATGTCTGGGCTGGAATGGGGTTAAGGGCGGTTCATTGAATACTAGAGAGAAACTTGATGACTGAAGGCTTGTGGGGAGGGAGGGAAGCACACCCACTAAACCACTGCTTCCCATTCTGCCTCTACGGGGTGTGTGTGGGGGTGCAGTTCTCCTTCCTTACCTCATTATTACGTGATGGTGGCTAGTTTACCAGGTCATGTCCTAATTCACGTTTCCAGTATATTCCAAAACTGTCTCAGCTGATGGTGTCAGACACACACACACAACCCCCAAATACCTGAAGCCCACCTATCCTACCAATCCAGCTTAGAAAAAGAGAAAAATAAGAAATAGAACCCAGAGAAGAGCCAGAAAGTAAAAATCCCACATCATATTTTGGGCTCAGCCACATACTGGTGGTGTGATGGAGCCACAGCTTCCCTCTCACCCTCGTTTCCTTGTCTGAAAACCACTGGCCTCAAAACAGACCCCTGTATCCTGGCCCTGGGGGAGGAGGGACAGGCCTTGAGGATCTATTTCCCAACTCAAAAATGAAGTGAACAGTGGGAATTGTGTCTCTTGTCTGCTCCAAAGCCCCCCCCCCTTTAAAGCAATAATGCAATAAAATATATAATAAAATGAGCAGCTTCTCATTTGACTTTGGTGACTCTAGGACTTGGTATGAATTAGTGTGGGCAAGTTCAGAAATACTGGTCTGGGGTCAGACTACTTGTGTCCCGGCCATAATTCTGCCTCTAACTTGCCAAGTGACCTTTGCCAAATCACTTACTGCTTCAGGCCTGAGGGCCTTTTATGTTATATTAGATAAGATGGCAGGGTCAAATGGCTCCCAGGGGTCTCCCAGTTCTAGGATTCTGTGTTTTGGTTGGGCACTGAATTAATTTCCTTTGTTTGGTGATAAACTGCTACAACTCCGGCTGCTTAAAGCAACATAAATGCATTCTGGCAAAAAGCTGAAAATCAAGGTGTCAGCAGGGCCACCCTCCTGTGGAGGCTCTAGCAAATAACCTGCTCCTTGCCTCTTTAAGCTTCTGGTGGCTGCTGGAAGCTCTCGGCATTCTTTGGCTTGTGGCTGCATTGCTCCAGTCTCTGTCTCCGTAGTCACCTTGCCTTATGTGGGTGGCGCAACTATCACTTGGTCTCTCTCTTATAAGGATACTTGTAATGGCATTTAGGGCTCACCCAGACAATCCAGGGTGATGTCCTCATCTCAAATCCTGAATTTAATCACATCCACAAAGACTCTTTCCCTATAGTTCACATTTATAGGTTTCAGGGATTAGGACAAAGACATACTTTGGGGAGGGGGGGTGTTTCAGCCCACAACAGGCACCTGCTATGATTATGACTCATTGAACATGCAGGGAGATTTGAGACATACAGAAGTGTGCATTTCTGTTCCCTAAGGATATATAGTTTAAATGAGGAGTCATCACTCACATATAACATTGTCAAGGAAAAACACAAGCTAGGAGGTAGCAGGCACAGAGAGGCAATGCCACCTCCGTATAAAAAGCCTGAGCTCTGAACTTAGACCACCCTGGGTTCACATCCAATCTTTGCCACCTACTAGCCAGAGGATCTTGGACAAATTGTTTAATGTCTCTGGAAAAAC